CCCCCACCCCGATAACTAGCAGGAAAGCCAAGGTAGCAGCCTCTTCGTCTGGACCCTTACTCTGAGGACCTCAAGTTAGTACTTCACGGCTGTCCTTGTCAATGTCGGACTCAATCCTGAAGTCAACCTTCCCCTCAAGTCTACACCTCTTTTTTCCCCATGTGGGGCCAAGCCTCTGACCACACTCCCTCTCCCAGCCTCGTTTCCCGCTCCCCTTCCCCGTCCTGTTTCTCACCGCCAATCAGGCGCGCAGGCGGGCAGCCCCGACCGGCAGGGCCCTGAGACCGGAAGCCGGAAGCCGGAAGCCGGAAGGGGCTCTGTGAGGACGTGTTCTGAGGAAGCCCGCGCCGGAGCCCGCAGGGCCGGCGTCATGGAACCGCTGTACCAACAAACTCACAAGTGAGGGCCGCGGTGGGGCGCGGGAGGGGGCGAGGCCGGGCTGGGCGACACGGCCCCCCCACCCCCGAGCTGGGATCTGGGGTGGCCGCGAGTGTGGACGCCGAGCCCCGCCGCCGGGAGTCGCTCAATCCCTGGCTCCTTGGCCGGGTCAGCGGTGGCCGTGAGGAGGGCCCGGCCATCCTCGGGCCTGGAGACGTTGGGCCCGTGGCTTGCGGGGTCGCCAGTCGAGTGACTACCTACTGAGCCGACTCGGTGGAGGGGAAAATCGCACCTGTGGTCATCATTCTGTCCAGCACCCATCCACTCGGTGCTCCGGCTGGTGGAGCTCGAGGGGAGACATGGGGAGTAGGAGACATGACCCCTGCGCATTGGAGCTTCCTGCTTAATTGGAGAGTCAAGATACGTTCGGGAAAATAACGTGTGACAGGATGGGGCGGAGGGTCAATGAGCAGGACAAGCAGGATTTCCTTAAGCGTGTTCGAAGGATCCAACACTGGACCGAGGTCAGGGAGAGTCTCATTGTAGCTCACAGTTCCAAATGATGTCACTCCCTACTCAGGATTGGCCTTGAATTGATTGCTGCCAACCCATGATTTTTTTTTCTTTTACCCTGATTTGGTAAACCTTCTTCTTTACTGTACAAAGAGATTACTGTACACGTAGCAGTTATTATTTTTGCTGTAAAACTCATGTGGCTTTGGGGTACCTTTAAGGAAATCGAAGTTTGGTTTGTTTTCTAATTTTCTTTGGTAGTGGCCTTGCTGAGAAGAACTTGATAGGTGGCTTAGAGAATATTAATCCGGTTTTAACAACTTTGAAATGTATGCTACTGATTTGTTCTGATGAGAATGCTTAAAACCATATTCCCTGTACCCAGAAATGGAATCAACTAGGCCCCCAACCCCTGTAGTGAATTCACAACCAGGGAAACCCTGTAGAGCATCGGGGATTAAAGGAAGAAAGTCCACTTACCTTTCATCTTCCAAATGTATGGGCTTCTTTTTCTTTTTACTTTGGCAATGAGGTGTTTGGTTTGGGTTGGTGAATATACAGAACCTACTTTGCAGGAGTATGAAAACAGTGGGATTTGTTCTTACAGGAGGGACCCAATTCTCATATAAGAATTATAAGAAAGGGCTTGAAAACCCAGACCTGGTGAACAAATGAGACAGCCAGTTTTGCTCATGTTCCGAAGAGCTGATCTTGTATGCTAGCAAGGCGTAGGGAGCATGTAGTGCCTTGGGACTGATCTGTGACGTGGAGTCTCATCTAGTTCATGTGGTTAACGGATGTTGCTAAGGAGAATGTGATCCAGCTTCCTTTCAGTGGTTTGGTTCAGAGACGGTGGCTCTGGCACTGCAAGTGGCAGCTGATCCCAGGGAAATGGGGGTGGCCCAATCCCGCACACACTTGTCCAAAACAAGATTGTGGGGTATAAATGAACCACTTACCTGTGCAGGCCAAGGACACAAGCCCCCCCAGCCCCGCCTTCCAATACACACACCCACATGCACTCTTCGCCAATATTCACCAAAGTTTTCTTTCTTTTTAAACAAATTATTT